CCTCCCTAAGTTGCATATAGGGGTGGGGCTCTGTTTGAAGTTTGTTCTCACTATATCTCAAGTACTGGATGGATCTTTCTGAAATTTCATATGTACTTACAGCACCTACTTCATACCAATTATTTTAAACATATTCATGTGAGCGATACAGGCCCTCCGGGCCTCTTGTTTAGCTCACCTGGCCCGAAGGGCCGAATCGATGCAGTCTGAAGCATGATTAGGGACAAAAGAATCAATTTTGTATCAACTGAGGTGTGTGGGCCCCCTTCTTTGGGGCAGATGGGTTGGTCCCATTAGGGGCAATAGAAGAAAACATTAAAGATCCTTCTCCGGTCCTTTTGTACCGATGAAGGGATTTTGACCAAATTTGGTGTGAAGCATCATTGGCCAAAGGGTCCTCAGTTTTGTATAAACGGAGGGTATGGTCCCCCTGGGGGCAGATGGGTGGGGCCAAATAGGTAAATCTTTAAAAGTCTTCTTCTCAACCAATAGAAGGATTTTGACCAAATTTGTTCTAGAGCATCTTTGGACAAAGGAGACTCAAGTTTGTAAAAACAGAGTGTGTGGCCCCTCTGGGGGCATAGGGGTGGGGCCCAATAGGGGAAATTGAGGATTTTTTTCTCCAACTATACAAGTGAAGGGATTTAAACCAAATGCAGTCTGAAGCATGCTTAGGGACAAAGGAATCAATTTTGTTTAAACTGAGGTGTGTGGACCCCCTTCTTTGGGGCAGATGAGTGGGTCCCATAAGGGGAAATAGAGGAAAACATTAAAGATCCTTCTCCTTCTGTACCATTGAAGGGATTTTAACCAAACTTGTTCTAGAGAATGTTTGGCCAAAGGGAATTGAATATTTATAAATGGAAGATGTGTCTGAAGCATGCTTAGGGGGAAAAAAACCAATTTGTTTAATTTGTATAAAAAGGTGCATGTGAGGCCCAATAGGGGAAATAGAGGAAAATTGGGACACAACAGGGAAACTCATTTTCTTGGTGTCTTTCCCACCAAAACAGATTTATATGTAGTTCTTCCTGCAACTTTGTTTCTTGTACTCCTTTGATAAACCTGTTTGTACTCAGCAGGTTTTAAATTGAAAAATAAAATACCAGGTGAGCTATTGAGGCCCCTGGGCCTCTTGTCTTCATACAGCATTTAATGGACTTTCATTTTAATGGTGAATATGGTAGTATAAGCACATTTGGCAACAAACATATTTTTGGTGGAAGGGTTTACACACTCAATAAAGAATTGGTTTGTTGCCAACACGGTTCATACTACCGTTTACGCTGTCAAAATGTAGGTCAATCCTTATAAATATTGCAATACTTTGTGATATACTTCAGGTTTTAATTGTGGCACCTCTACTCCTAACATGCTTTTAGGATGATTCTCTTTGATTTGAATTTCAGCTTCCAAAGTAGTGTCAGAAGTGTTCGTGATGGAAATATTAACAATTCAAGATGCTTCAATTCTTTTGGAACAGATTTCTGCTGACTGCCGAGATGCTGAAACCATCCTCACCATCCAGTAACCATGACAACCCCAATAGTGACGACTCCTCTGATTATTTTCCAAATCTGGGTATGAATTTAGCTCACCTGCCCGAAGGGCAAATGAGCTTATGCCATGGCGCAGCGTCTGTCGTTCGTCGTCCGTCCATCTGTCAACTTTTTCTTTAAAACGCTACTTGTCCTGAACGGCCCAGTAGATTTGGACTAAATTTGGACTGGAGCATTCTTAGGCCAAGGGAACTCATTTTGTATAAATGATGGGTCTGGCCCCCCTGGGGGCTGAGGGGCGGGGCCCAATATGGGAAATATAGCAAATTCTTTAAAATCCTTCTCCTTCTGTAGGAATGAAAGGTTTTGGTCCATATTTGGTCTGAAGCATTCTTGGGTGAAGGGGAACCTATTTTGGATAAACCGTAGGTCTGGACCCCCTGGGGGCTGAGGGGTGTGGCCAAACAGGGGAAATATAACAAATTCTTTAAAATCCTTCTTCTTCTGTAGGAATGAAAGGATTTGTTCCATATTTGGTCTGAAGCATCCTTGGGACAAGGGGAACCAATTTTGTATAAACCATGGGTGTGGCCCCCTCCAGGGGCCTGAGGGGGGGGCCAAATAGGGGAAACATAGCAAACTATTCTTTAAAATCCTTCTTCTTCTGTAGGAGTGAAAGGATTTTTTCCATATTTGGTCAGAAGCATCCTTGGGTGAAGGGGAACCAATTTTGTATAAATCATGGGTGTGGTACCCCAGGGGCCTGAGGGGTGGGGCCCAATAGGAGAAATAGAGGTAAAACCTTAAAAATCCTTCTTCAACCATCGGGATTATGGGATTTTATCCTTATTTAGTCTGACATACATATATTGTACACCCAGAGTCTGACATACATATATTGTACACCCAGAGTCTGACATACACATATTGTACACCCAGAGTCTGACATACATATATTGTACACCCAGAGTCTGACTTACATATATTGTACACCCAGAGTCTGACATACATATATTGTACACCCAGATTCTGACATACATATATTGTACACCCAGTCTGACATACATATATTGTACACCCAGAGTCTGACATACATATATTGTACACCCAGAGTCTGACATACATATATTGTACACCCAGAGTCTGACATACATATATTGTACACCCAGAGTCTGACATACATATATTGTACACCCAGAGTCTGACATACATATATTGTACACCCAGAGTCTGACATACATATATTGTACACCCAGAGTCTGACATACATATATTGTACACCCAGAGTCTGACATACATATATTGTACACCCAGAGTCTGACATACATATATTGTACACCCAGAGTCTGACATACATATATTGTACACCCAGAGTCTGACATACATATATTGTACACCCAGAGTCTGACATACATATATTGTACACCCAGAGTCTGACATACATATATTGTACACCCAGAGTCTGACATACATATATTGTACACCCAGAGTCTGACATACATATATTGTACACCCAGAGTCTGACATACATATATTGTACACCCAGAGTCTGACATACATATATTGTACACCCAGAGTCTGACATACATATATTGTACACCCAGAGTCTGACATACATATATTGTACACCCAGAGTCTGACATACATATATTGTACACCCAGAGTCTGACATACATATATTGTACACCCAGAGTCTGACATACATATATTGTACACCCAGAGTCTGACATACATATATTGTACACCCAGAGTCTGACATACATATATTGTACACCCAGAGTCTGACATACATATATTGTACACCCAGAGTCTGACATACATATATTGTACACCCAGAGTCTGACATACATATATTGTACACCCAGAGTCTGACATACATATATTGTACACCCAGAGTCTGACATACATATATTGTACACCCAGAGTCTGACATACATATATTGTACACCCAGAGTCTGACATACATATATTGTACACCCAGAGTCTGACATACATATATTGTACACCCAGAGTCTGACATACATATATTGTACACCCAGAGTCTGACATACATATATTGTACACCCAGAGTCTGACATACATATATTGTACACCCAGAGTCTGACATACATATATTGTACACCCAGAGTCTGACATACATATATTGTACACCCAGAGTCTGACATACATATATTGTACACCCAGAGTCTGACATACATATATTGTACACCCAGAGTCTGACATACATATATTGTACACCCAGAGTCTGACATACATATATTGTACACCCAGAGTCTGACATACATATATTGTACACCCAGAGTCTGACATACATATATTGTACACCCAGAGTCTGACATACATATATTGTACACCCAGAGTCTGACATACATATATTGTACACCCAGAGTCTGACATACATATATTGTACACCCAGAGTCTGACATACATATATTGTACACCCAGAGTCTGACATACATATATTGTACACCCAGAGTCTGACATACATATATTGTACACCCAGAGTCTGACATACATATATTGTACACCCAGAGTCTGACATACATATATTGTACACCCAGAGTCTGACATACATATATTGTACACCCAGAGTCTGACATACATATATTGTACACCCAGAGTCTGACATACATATATTGTACACCCAGAGTCTGACATACATATATTGTACACCCAGAGTCTGACATACATATATTGTACACCCAGAGTCTGACATACATATATTGTACACCCAGAGTCTGACATACATATATTGTACACCCAGAGTCTGACATACATATATTGTACACCCAGAGTCTGACATACATATATTGTACACCCAGTCTGACATACATATATTGTCAAAAGATGTTAGTATTGATATGATCACACAATTTCACAGCTCATTAACTCATTGGTCTATACCTTTGTATCTGTCCCCTAGTCATATGAGCCGTTCTTTTTAGTCTGAATAACCATGCTTATAACGAGTTTTTAAAAAACAACTGATGTGAGGCACGGTAGTCCAGTGGTAGGACGCCGGACTCGTTACCGAAAGCGCACGGTGTTGTATCTTTGAGCAAGATACTTTACTCCGCTTGTTCCAGTCTACTTAGCTGTAAATGAGTATGTGGTTGGTCAATGCTTGAATTGTAGAAAGCTAGCTGTTAGTGCCGAAATGGCAGCTCCAGCTGTATGCTCCCCAGGGAGAGGGAGTTGAGAAAGGTATTGGCTGGTTGCAAAGGCCCTATAACTACGAATAATAATTTGTGAACCGCTTTGAGACGACCTGCGAACTAGGTTGTGATAAAGCGGTATATAAGAACCTCAAATTATTATTATTATTATAACTTTAACACCACAAATCATTTTCTGAATCATTTTTATTAACATTCTTCAACTTCTACAAGAAATACAAAGTCAACAACAAACAGTTAATGTATAACCAGTATTACAATCTAACTGGCCTGATCCAACTGGGTCATGTGACCGGCATACTCTCTCATACAATACCCAGCATTACAGGATACACTCTTACATACAATGTAAACATTGTATCATCATCATATAACTAGTATACATATAATCTCGCATACAGTGTTTACAGTCTGTGGAGATGCCTGGATTTTCGTTCTTTTACGAAAAAGGTAAACACTGTATTGTATCATAAATTATATGTACATACAAGACTTTACGTAGGAAACTGTTGTTACTTGTACAAATTATTCATGACAGACTAGAGACAAGATTCCATTTTGACAATGATTAAGCCTGGGATGTTGCGTTTTGATGTGTCAAAATGACCATTTTTATGAAAATTTAGAGATATAGAAAGAAAATTTTAAGTTTCAATTTCTGTTAAGTTGTTCACTCATAAGAACAAAAAATAACTTCAAACATGAGCTGAATACACATGCATACAGGAATTCACAATGATCCGCTATTAACTCAGGTACAAGAAATGCAATTGAAGATATTTGAGGAATACTTTCTCTATTTTGGGGTATACAAGAAGTATATGTAGCATATACAAGGAAATACTATGTGAACGAATTGGTGATCAATCCTGAATCACAACATTCATAAACGCAAGTCAGAATTATTTTGTATACTCGAGATGATACCAGCTGTTTTTTGAGAGTTTGAAGGTTTTCAGTATTGGTACATTGTACTCTACCATATATTTATACTCGAGATGATGCCAGCTGTTTTTTGAAGTTAAAAGCTTTTCAGTTTTGGTACATTGTACCATATGTTTGGCACTACCAAAGCAGTCTGGAGTCCTATAGGAAGCTACTGGTGTATCCTCGTCAATGTTCACATAACAATTGATCAGTCTTGTAATTGCAGTACATTATAGACAATAATCATACGTTAATTAACAGGTCATGTCACAATTAAAATACATCTCACATAATGCCCTTTTCTCATGTATTTATAGATCTTCAGTTATTCAACAGGACTGAATTTTTGCGACTGATTAGTATATTATTAGGTTGCAGAAAAGGTTAGCTTCTAATAAATAATACCGAAAAAGTACAGGTATTTGCGAGTTTTGTTACAGTACACAGTACATGTATTCTCATTTTAAAAACATGAAGATGACTATGATAAAGATGACAAAAGTACATTTAATGTACAAAGTGTTGACATGAATATCTTAAATAAATGTGATGTAGGCTATATACCCGACCACTGAATTCTTTGAACTCTTCCCACTGTTCAGTGAGGAGGAGAAGACAATGTTGTGCTGACGGACATGTTTCAAAACCCTCTCTTGTTCAGTGAATGGAACCTGTTTGTTATTTTTCTTTTAAACTAAATTTCAAGGTGAAACATTTTGTGAAGCCTTCTGGTAAACAAAAATCTTACAAATCCCAACATTTTCATTGGGTTTTCTAACACACCTTTTCTGTGATTTAATGTAACCACATTAGCAAGGCATCAAAGAGTGCTACATGATCATTACATGGAGACTAGAAAATCGTTTTGAACTTGAGGGTTCTGTGTTCCGATATATATTAGCTAGCAAGACATAATGTACAACATTTTAATGTTACCCTGGTAACCCACATTCTGATAAACAGAACAATGCTTCCGGGG